AAGATAAACTTGGTAATTATGTATGTATATATCGATTACAATCAGGGATATATATAAGAGATACATTTACACTCTAGACCCTCTAATATAATTATATATATATCACACTTAATTGTCTAATACTAAATATATATACACACTTTTACACATTATATTCAACTCACAAAATAATGTGTTTAGTGTTCTGATAAAGAAAATATATAATATATATTTATATACACAAACACACACACGTATATATATGTATCTATATCATCTATTACAAGTCTAAACACAGCAGGTACAATATAGATATATACAAACAGACATATATCTATAGATATAAATTATACTAACAAAAAGTATATATTAATGTACATAAATTACTCCCTCAAAAAGATATATATATATACACATGTTACAAGTTCGAATGCAGCTTGTACAAGTTTTAATTGTAGTCCTTATCCCATAAATTGCTTGCAGCATTGAGTTGATTCCTTCACTTCGTGGAATAAGAAAGCACCAACAGGAAAAATAATATAATATATGTTTATGCTCATGATTGTGTGAGAGATGTAAAAAAGCACTCAGAAAAAGCACTGGACATGGAAGGAACCACTTGGCTAAAGCGGTGGCCGCCTCAATACCACCCACAGCTTCACCGACTTTGCCCACACCTCTTAAGACCCAAGGCGTACGAAACAGTTAACCCATTAGAGGCGCCGTCTCAGATGCTTTTTTTGGACACCTCGTTTTGAGGCACGCCTCAAGGCATGCGCCTCGCACACTTTTTAAAACCATGCATTTAGGCATCGGTTTGTAATTTGTAATTGGCGAGAGCCTCTCTTGAGAGAACCAACTTTCGAAAAGTTAGAAATCAGTCTGTAAGCATTTGATTGTTGATAAAGATGAACAGTGTGCCTCATACCCTCCACCTCCCAACAAAAAAAATGTTGACTTCTACCCCTCGTCAATGTGTTCTCTCTATGTTCGAATCATGGTAGTCAATTAAACATTCTTAGGTCCTTTGAATAAATTTCCTTTTTTATGATGCACAAAACGATAACGAGGGTCCACATGGCCCCAAACCTCCTTATTACCTTGCTCTTTGTTTCCGTGTTCTTTGAACAACCAATTGTTATTTTTGCACTGATCGCATGTATCCACATATTGAACCCATCTGCTCGCAGCCCCTTAGACACATATATTGAACCCTAAGCATTCTAAGCATACCAAGCCAAGCCAAGTCATGCCATGCTACTAGACAACTAAAAAAAGTGATCAATACAAGCCTACTACAGATTAACCGCAAATTAAGTATATAATATTTATATACGGCAAATTAAACCCAAAAAAAATTCATCTTTGGCAAGACGAACCCCTAATCTCCAAGAAAGTTGGGTTCCAAGGTACCGCTAAACCAAAGGCCCTTTGGTAGATTAACCACCCTTTTCGGCTAGAGAGCACTATGTTCTCCATTTTCAAAAAAACCTTGCAGCTTGAATCTTTGTATCTCTACTTGCATCCTCTATCAAAGCAAAATACTATACTAATAATACTACTTGAGCATGCTAAGACCTTCAAAACCTAAACTATTTATTCAAATATATCAACAATTTAAGAATGGTTTAGCATTGTTGATATCATATACACTTCGCAACATGTAATTTTGAATGTCAATAACAAGCAAATGCAAATAGGTTTGCACTTCCAACGTATATATGATAAATATATATACTTTTTGAATAAATTTTGTCATTCCCACTTTTCCCATCAAATTGGAGGACAGTAGAAAGATCCCTTCGGGTGACTTTGACTTGTGACTCCTAACCATGAAACATTGGCGTGTGGCTTCCTTCTGTTTTCTTGTCATCCACAGTATATGTTCTCTCTCGCACATAGTTGTAGAGTGACAGTAGAGAGATTGTTTCCGGTGTTTTTTAACCAGTGAACTCCTAACCACGAAACATTGCCTGAGGCAACTTTGATGCTTGTGTTCTGACTTCTTGTCAACCACAGTATATGTTCTCTCTCTATGTCCATATATATAGACGCACACACAATTTCCAGAAGCAAACCTCACCTGTAAACCTAACACAAAACCAACCGTATGTTACAGAGCCCACGACCATAAGCCGACACTCACGCCTGTAAGCCTAGGGGCCAATTCCATAGCCACAGCAAAAAAAGGAATTCAAATAAGAACAATAAATTCTAATATCATATCAAGTTCATTCAATAGTGCGATATAGTAAGCCCCAAAAGCTAAGACTCACAAAATTCTAATTATATCAAGAAAAAATTAACTCCAATGAAATTGCTGATCTTTATAGACATAAGCCAAATTACATGAATACCTCTTGAAGCTGTTGTTTGTAAGTAGAGAGATTCGAAGAGAGCTCCTCTATGCTGACTTCCTCGCCCCCTCCCTCCATGCTTCTCTTATGTGTTGGTTTTCTTTCTTCTCCAAATTCGTTTAGTGATTGGAAGAGGGAAGAGAGGTAGGAATTCGATCAACGATTCTACAAATTAGGGGTTAAGATGATCGTAAGATAAAACCCTAAGAATATTTATCGGGGAGAGCAAGCATATATGTCGAATGGAGCCCTAAATGGGATTTTGCTCGATCTTTATTGTGACAAGCTCCGATTCGCTGGATGGTAAAAATACATGTATGAACCCTAGACAACCATCAACTTCCACATTGCCCCCTTCTGCAAACTCTTGTTGCAACTCTATGGCCGATTGTTTTTTTTCTAAGTCTAAAATATTATTTCACTTCTTAACGATAATAGTATTGAAGTCCGAGACCAAAATCAATAAGACTATTTTTACACTAATAAATATCTAAATGTTTGTAATTTTCTAGTTTACCACTCGGAATATTGTAACATTGAATTTAACGCTCATTTTCAAACGATAAATGTTTTTGAACAAAGACAATCTTTTGTTACATTGACTCATCCAATAAAAATATAATACATAAGCAAAATCTATCGAATGTAGTTCAATTATCTTTAACTAATGTTTGACATCGCGCATTATGTGACGATCAAATTTTATGTTAAAGAAAAATGTAAAAATTGTTTTTATTGACTATTTCTATAAATACGGAATCTGTTGCAAGTCCATATACAACAATTTATTTTAGATAAAGATTGGTTTTTGAGTATATTCAATAAATAGATTTATGAAATTTATTAGTAATAACCATAGTTTAAATTATTATATAAAACATTAATGACATTGTTTAAAATAAATTAATACATAAAATTGAGAAATAATTTAACAATCACCAACGTAGTAGAAGATTTAAAATAACCAAGACTCAACACTACAAATTTTTTAAAATAGAAACAACATATATACAAAATGTGTTAATAATAACCGAATAAAATTACAATACAACCAAATATTTATATTATCTTTAAAATAGGTAATTTAAGGGGGTGTTCGGGATTGCTTATAAAAACAACTTATTGATTTATTCCGGTTTGGCACCGGTAATAAGCATTTATGGGTGTTTGAATAAACAACTTATATCGGTGTCAAACCGGTAATAAGGAGTTTTTGATAAAGTTAAAATATTTCTGACTTATAATAAGTTAATAAGTGTTTTTATAGAAAAATTTCAAACATCCACTAAAATAATCTTCATATGGATAACCAAATAATATGATCTTTTTTAAAATTATAATTATCTTTTAAAAAATAACAACATATGATTAAATATAATAAAGTGTTTATATTTATTACCATTATTACTTTTTTTTATAAAAAAGACGTAGAAGTCCTTAAATTCTAAGATTTTTTATTATCAAGAATCCACCTATTTTTTTATTTACTCACTCACTTCTTATTCCAATATATTTTCCTCCTTCATCATCAATTCACTGATTTTAACTTTTTTAGCAGTTTGGATAAAAATTTACATCGTGATGCATGTACCCATTAACACGATTACATAGATTGTCAAACACCTTCCGTTTTTTCATTTTTCTTGTGTAAAGATGACTTATCAACTTCATTTTCTAAATCGATCGTCTTCGATACATTTTTTACAAGTATCGATCTAATTAGATTGTAGCAAAATTTCAATGTTAGAACTGTTTAAGTTGTATGAATCAAAAATGTAAATTCACAAAAATGAAAGCAATCTAATTTTGAACATGATTCGAAATCATTAAAGGTGGAAAAAAAACTTTGAAGAATACTAATTGATTTATATTCTCGTAAAATTATAATGTTTCAAATGAAACACTAAAACATAAATTAGTAATCAAGAAGCAAATATAAAAATTAATGTTAGCCCCAATTCTCATTTGTAAAGGTATTGTAAAAGAAACCAAGACTTATAATCCATAAGACTTCTACACTAAAAGCTAAGATAGAACCGAGCCAGAGCAAAGTACTCGGAGGTAGAGCGTGCCCAACCAGAAGCCAATCACAGAGAGGCAAAGGCTTTGGTCCACCTCTGCACTAGTGCTTAGTGTTCATCTTGAAAGATTATCTCAACGTGTAACAACCAATTATAGACTGCCACATCAACATAAAGCGCTTATTGCACCTTTCCACGTGGAGCTCATTCATTGGAAGATGCTTTGATTTTCCATATTTAGGCTATAAAAGATCCTTTAGGCTTTTCTAGGTAACTTTTCAACGCTTAAAAACACTTAGAGAGAGAAATCTTTTTGAGAGATTTTTACACTTTTGAGTGTGTGTTCTTGTTGTAATTTCGGTACTCTCAGATTGTTATTAATACACATGATGACGTTGGTGATATACTTTCCTGTTTGTGTTTCTACCTTCATATTCATTACTGTTTCAAGTCTATAATAGTAGTTTACGCGATTTTGCTTCCGCTCATATTATTTCATTTGCTTAACAACTTGTGAAAAATAATTTGGGTTCCTATAATTGGTATCAGAGCCTACTGATCAATCTATTATGGATTTTTCTCTTTTACTAGACTATTTTTTCTTCGATTTTGAGATCAAAATGGAAATCCCCGTTTTTCCAGTTTTCGTGACAAGTTCATAATTCTGGAAAATCAAGTGATTAATTGTTTTTCTTAGAAGAATTAGTGTGTAGTTTTTCTCTCTCAACAAGTTTTTGTGGTCAATTTCAATGACAAACATAGTTTTAAGTTCAATTTGACACATACTCTTTGTTTTTCTTCCTGTTTTCTATCAGAATGGAAAATCCTGTATGGAATGCTACTTACAGTGTCGGATCCCAAACTAACCTCCCACTCTACTCCTTAAAGAATATCCTCAAGTGTGAGTTTTATGTTCTTGAAGTATCGCTGTCACTGTAGGATTTACAATACATATTTCAGCGATCACTGAACAGACTCAGTGATGATCGCTGGAACTGAAAGAATATAAACATAATACTTCGAAAGATAAAAAGAATTATCATCAAATCAATGAGAGAGAAGATCAACAATTTCCTACTATTTGATTATGACAAAGCAACATAAAGAAAATTGCCTTAATAAATAATAGTAAGAAAAAGTTACATATAACGTAAATGTCCATTTTGAGATCTTTTTCAGTGAATCAGTTTTTACTTTATAAGTTTTCTTAAGTTACAAGTTTAAGAAAAAGTACAAGAAGGGAAATTGAAACTGAAAACATGTTCACGGACTAGAGATTGTTAGTGACTAAGAGAATACCGGAACTCATAGACATGTGTCTCTATTACTCTTTTCAGGGATCTTTTTCAGTGATACTGATGAAATACTTATATTCATTTAATGGAAAAATTATAAGTGTTTCAGTCAGTACATTTCTAGACTTACAAAATATAAGTTGTACACTGAAAGTAAAGACATAGATACAAAAGATATAAAATAAAAGACAAAATTACAAGACAGAATTTCGTAACTAATCTAGGTCGCTGAAGTTGATATAGCCAGGTACTTCTTCTCCAAGCTCCTTTCGACATAGATCTTGTTTCAGTCAGTACATTTCTAGACTTACAAAATACAAACTTCACAACTCAACTTCAATGAAAACACCAATTGCCACTGGTTTAGAACTTGACTCTGATCTCTCTAGTAAGTTAGTGGATGTCAAGAACTAAACATACATGATTGGGTCACTTCTGTATCTCACTGCCAGTAGACTAGATATAATGTTTGCTACTTGCCTCTATGCCAGGTGCCAAACAAATCCAAAGCATTCTGGCAAATTTTAAGGGGACTCAATTCCTTGGTCTCTAGTATCCAAAGCATTTTGGCTTTAACTTCATTGCATACACAGATGCAGATCATGTAGGATGTAAAATCGATAAAAAGAGCACTTCTAGAAGTTGTCAACTACTTAGAAACAAACGGGTGAATTGGACATCTAAGAAGCAGAACTATGTGCCCACCTCTACATCAGAAGTAGTATATGTAGTTGTTGCTTGTTGTTGCTCACAAGTCATATAGACTCAACTCAAAGATTATGGTCTTGAGTTTGACAAAATCCCAAATTCGTGTGACTCTGAAAGTGCAATAACTATCATTGCAAATTTGGTGCAACATTCAAAAACCAAGCACATTGATATCAAACATCATTTCATCAACCTTGTGGAGAAAGGTACAATTAAAATGTACTTTGTTTCTACATATTACGAACTTGTTGACCTATTTAACAAAGCTCTTGATGAAAAGAGATTCAACTTTTTGATAAGCATGTTGGGTATGCTAAATATATCTACTTAAAGCTCAAGTGTGGCAAACCAGAACTTCTGGTTATACTATGCACATATTTTGGATCATCATCAAATCATTGAGAGAGTTTGGATAAAAAAATCTCCCCTTATTTGATGAAAATTGCTTAATTGTTACAATATGGAAAAAAGAACTTGTAAGATACATGTCTCGTTTACTGTTTTTGGGATCTTTTTCAGTGTCAGAGTATATTATGGAAATTTATTTATTTGTAAAGGATTACAAAGGAAAGAATGAAATTACATAAAAAGATAAGTCAACACTGAGAGCATATTAACTGACAAGAAATAAGTCAGAGAACGTATAAAAAATAAAACTCGTAAGTATTTGTCTCATTTACTCTTTTCAGGGATCTTTTACAGTGAACCAATCAATACATTAAAATATCATTCAAGTCAAAATATTACAAGTGATTACAATTGATTTGATACGCTTAAATAATAAAACTGATAGTCCACGAAATGATCAATCTTCATAAATCTTCTATGAATCCATGGCAGATTTTAGATAATCTTGTAAGAACACTTAGAAGGAGAGATGAGAGAAATAGTCAACAAGTCAAGATCTATATTATACGTATGAATATTACAAATGAGCTTCTCTTAAAAACACTAAAGACAAAGCTTATATAGGGTCAAACTAAAACCCTTTTAGTCAAAGTCAAACACGATGTCTTTACAATTATAGACAATAGTAACTTTCAAGACGAAAACAATTTAACAGTGAAATTCAGACCCAACATTCTCCCCCTTTGTATTCAGGCTTGAAAGAATTTGCGCACTTTGAATCTCGTTTGAACTTTGTCTTTTTAAGAACTTTATGACTTCTTGAAAAACTTCAAAACAATATTCAGACGATCTTTAGTTGAGAAAATCTTCTAACATTCCCCCCCTCGAA